GGGGCAGATTGCTTTACGCTCCATTTAATTTTCGGTAAATATGCCAATAAAAATTGTGGAACACGAGGCGGCACCCAGATGAATATTTGCTTTTAGGTCCCGACAAACACACACCCCATCAGAAAAGGTCCTTTTGCCCTGTTTTCGAGCGTCTTTTTGCATTTTAAATTGCCCCAAAAATACACTGGGCAGCGATAACTGCTTGTGGACAGAACGAATATTTCGTTTAATTAAAGCTGACCTGGGGCCCATCAGGTGCAGGTAATTGGCCAGGACTAGGACCTCCACGGGGCACATTAGCTGGCAGGAGCTTGTCATGTCCTTGTCGAGAGATGTGCCGCATAAAAGTCGATTTTAATGTGAATTTCGTGTCGCACAAACGAAATAAATTTCAATAAATTTGCCGAAGCAAAAGTGGGCGGGAGTGTTCTAATAACTTTTAATTAGTTAACCATGTGGAAGTTTTTCGCAGCGAAACTAAAAGCAAATTTGCTGTCAGAGCAGTTTAGTTTTGCTCTTTGGCTTCTGCGGCAGGTCGACAAGTGAATTATTAACGCCTGACAGGTAAAACCCAGCTCCTTTTATACATATATACAAACCCCCTTGATTCCAGCCCGCAGGCAGGAATTTTTCGGCTGCCAGCTTAAGCGTTATAATTAACTGCGACACAAACATTTTCGGCACTCAGATTGCGCTTCCTTGCCGGCTGTGGGAATATATATTTTTGCGGCTCTGGCTAAACCAATTTGCCAGGACTTAAATTTTAAGCATTATTAATGGTTTTGCGGCGGGGCGGGTGTGCAGATAATGCGGATTTCGGCGGGGGAGGAAATGCGGAACCTTCGGTGGAGTAATCACAGGAAATCTTGGACTGCCGCGGAGCGTGGGTCAACAAAGCATAATTTCAGTGGTTGACTTCAGTCTTATTTATTTTTCAATCATCCCCTTGTGCAGGTTTTCGATGTATCTCCTGTTTTGGAACATCTTTTGCCATAACCAATGAATTAATATTGTGTTTAGGGTAGAAATTGGCTCATCATAGCTCTTTCTATTTCTTATGGATTCGGGGTCAAATCGATATGCGCATGGTAAATTTCCGGTATTGTGTACGCATATAGTTTTTACTAAAATTTTGTGTCTCCGAGATTTTTTGACTTCGAAAAAAAAGAAAAGAAGTTGCAATGTGGCGACTTAAATTATGTGAGTGGGAGCGAGAAGTACAAACTCTTTTAATTCCAAATAGAGCGAGATAGAGCCGGTTCTTTGTATTTCGAGCATATCAAATTGATATCAAATAACATAAAATCGATCATCATTATGTAAAAGAACTCACTACACTCAAAACTTATATTTTTTTTTCTAAAAATCTATTCTTTTTTTAAAAAACATTTTTAAATGTTTTGTGTTGAAGCATCAAGCTCTAACATCAGTTTACCATATTCTGCATTTTTGACTATTGTAGCCACTCTAACATGTTCATAGCTGTCGCAATTCGACGGACTCCAGTCGAGTGTGTCAGAGCCACTGAGCTCGTGACATGAGCAAACGATTAAGGGATATAAATAAAAACATCTGACATTTGCCAGTTGAACTGCATGGCACTCGAATGGCCATGCCCCCAACTTTCCCCACAGACCCTAAACTAATTGTTTGCTTTGGGCCAGAAGGCCTGGCAAACTTTTTCGATTACAAAATTGTTTCGGTGCTGAGGGCCGACTGGGCGATACAATTTTTAGAAATTTCCATTATCCTTTCGGCATCACGTCGGCGTATGCAAACATTTGCCATTTGCCAAGCTGGCCAAAAGGGGGAAAAAGGCAGGCGGAATGTCGGTCCGAACTATTCAACAGTCGGTCAGCGTTTTAGTTTCATTTGCAGCGGCTAAAGCAAAGCGAAAGCAATTTACACGCATTTCGGCGCAAAATGGAACGTGCCCCGCCACTAAAATGTTTATGAGCGCGGACTGCGAAATGTGAGCTGATGCTGGTAGAGGGAAGGACTCCGGATTTTGGGGTCAGTCGAAGGGAAGCTGGAAATGGTCGGAGCTCTAAGCCCGAGCTGATGAAATAGAACAGAGCCATAAACCCGGGAAGAGGAGGGATGGCTTTTCCTTTTTTTGTTCTGCTCAGCACGAGCACAAGTCGGTCAAGAGGAGTTGGAGGAGTCTTGGGGCCAGGGGCCCTTAAAATCCCTCACGCCCGAGGAAACTGAATGGGCTGTCTGTTTAGATAGTGTTGCAATTGTTCTGCTGCTGCAGCACTAACCCTTTACGATCCCCCGAATTGTTCATCTCACTCTCGAAGAGTGGTTGCCTACTTAACAGAGCTCTTTTTGCTCCTCGCACAGAGATTGCACAGCAATTTGAATTAGGTTTGTGATTCCCGGTCGAACAATTTCCCAGCTCGGCAGCTTAGTGCAAAATTCATGGGGAAATCAATGAAGCAGAAAGCCAGAAATATTCAGGGAACACAAAATTCCGGCTGCATTCGCCATGTCAAAATACAAAAGTGGGGCTTAGGGGTGCGATTAAATGGGCAAACAATATTTCTGGACCGGACAATTGCACATCTGGAATTGTTGCATATTTTGCAGCATATTCCAACAGATTTGCATCTCGCAAAAATCCAAATAGCTCAGTCTTGGCTTTGTGAAATTAACAAACTTCGAGCGGGGAAAGGAGATGCAGTCTGCTGTTCAATCGAGTCGACAACAATCGCCAATTCAACTTGGCTCAACTTCGGATCCAAGTTCTCCCTTCGTCCCCATTGTAAATTGAAATACTTTACCCGGCGAAAAGTTTGCCAGCTTACAAGTTTTACAGTTTCCGTTCAGTTTCACTTGGTATCTGCTCATAATATTTGCCATTAATGGTGAAAAATTTAATTTATGTCACGTCCCAGACGTCGAGGAAAATGCGCGTTTTATTTTGTTTTATTTTATGGCACCAGGCGACCTAGTGAAAATATTTTGAAAAGCATTTGGCTGGCTACGTGATGTTCGTCTTAAACTGCAGGATCAACTTGCAGTCACGTGGGCGTCGTTTAAATGGGTTCGAGGGTTCCGAATAATAAACACTGGTGGAGGGAGTAATGGTCGAGGGTTAAGGGTCAAGCTACACTAAGTTAATCAAAGCTGTCTATGCTTTATGGGTTTCCTTGCTTAATTTAAATATAATTAACCTTTCACAGCTCATGAAACCGTGAGTTGGTAAATAAAATAAAATAAAATTCTGCCCAATAAAAAGATTAATATTAATTTTCTTATCCAGTTCAACACGATATTAACTTTATTGATTTCTTATTATGTCTGTCAATCTTTTATGCTCGTATAAGATTTATTAATTTTTTCCCAGCAGCTTTATGCGTAAAGTGCTCATGATACTTATAATACAAATAAATACGTATTTTTTTCATTATTGTGCCGTATGCAAGATAAAGGCCTTAAAGCTGAGTTAATTCAAAGCAGTTTCACTTAATTTTGTCAATTGGTGGTCGATTTTATATCGCCACAATTTAATAGGCACTCGAAATAATCATTCATTTGAGCACTAATTAAATAAGTTTTAAACACTGTTGGCTGGCGTATTGGGTCATATGCACATCCCCCGCAAGAGTATAAATATTTGCCGTGCAGTGAAGGTAAAATGAAATGCGGAATATTTAATGATTTCCAGCGCTCTTCTGGCCAATAACAACAATGCCAGCGACCACGGCAGCCGCAGCACTCATTTATAATGTAAACATAAATAACTCTTACGGCGGAGATCCTTCAACTATGAGCTATGTGGCCTTGTGTGCGGATAAAGCATTGAATTGAAATTGTAAATGAAAATTTCCACGCACACTCGCTCCGGCAATTTATAAATACAAATATGCAAAGCCATAATACGGCAAAGGAGCTGAGGCAACATTCGCATTTCATGGAAAATTAAATTGCCAATGGTCAAGCCTCTCCGATTCCGGCAGGACAAAAAAGCCGAAAGGGTTTTTCGGTTTCGGTTTCGGCCTGAGCCTGGCATAGAAGCAATATTGATGGAAAATAAATTCAATTTTTTCCCGGAGCACTGCCGTACTGCTATCCCAGCCTCAGCTTGTTTGTGTAATCGATTCTCCTTGTTGTCAGAATCCCTGGAAAGGGACGGCGGGCGGTGGGTCCTTGCTGATAATTGATAAACGGTGCCAACAGGAGGAGCTGCCAGCCACCATCGACCGACTGCCATGGAAATTCTCCGATTTAATGTGATTTACACTTCAACCTGTGCCATGCGTGTGTTTCCCCGAGCTTAAGGCAATAAAAATTCCGGCATTCCCTGTCCGGCATCGTTTTCCACTTACCCCTCCGGGTTTTATTGAGATATTCCCCCGAGAGTTCAGGGGCTGTGAGTTGGCTAAACGAAGAGTTTTCCTCCCATCGCTTCGCATTAATTGTTGGAGGAGTATAACCTTGACACATGTCTGGCCCCGGGCTTTGGGAAAACTTGTACGCTTGGCTACCTCGGCTCCGACTCCTCTGAGATCCCTCAACCGTGTGGTTTCCTTGGTGGAAACCACTTTTTTAGGGGGAACATGGAAATGTTCTTATTGCTTTACGCTCCAAGACATTTTCCCACAGTAGTGCTTAATTTAATTTTGCCGCTGCTCTCGTTGCTCGTCTTCTCGCTTTTAGTTTAGTAAAAGTTTCTAGGGGGTCGAGCCGAGTCTTGCTTAATTAGCGCTTGATATACTATAGCGTATGTGGGCTGCAGATTCTGCACTCGCAGCTCGAATCTGGCCAAGAACAAGCGGCAGCCTTGAATGGAAAGCTTAAATTTTCACCGCAAAAGTCTTCTCTCTTCCCGATTTAATTAAAATCCATACTCAAATTTCAGTGCTGAAAAAGCGCATTATATGCGAGCTTCGGGCAGAATTGTTTCGAACGCCTCTGAGGATTACCTCCGATGCGTACGTTAATGTGCAATTAAATATTAATTCCCCCTTTTCGCCTTTTCTCTTTTCTTGCAGGCCTGGGCATCGCATCAACTTGAGGAAATGTAAGTAAATATAATATCATAATTTCCATGGGAGCCACCAGCAAAGCGGGCACTTCACACGGCCCTCTCTAAGTAAATATCTGAATAATTTACAGCCATTCTGGGATATTTGAATTAATTTCTGGTGCCGCACATTCGGGGATTCTTCTAATGGTGCGACGATCTGCAGAGAGTCCGAAACAAAAGACTCAAGCGACGAACTCGCTGATCGCGCTCCATGTTCGGCAGAAGATAATTGCGAGCCACGGCCAAGACTCTCAAATTATAGTTTATAGACTCCGCTGTGCGTTCCCCGGTTCTTCAGAGGTTTTATGGCATTCGGCACGCAAGGGGTTGTCCGCTTTCCCGAACTCCGACCCCTTCACCGAACCTTCACATCTCCTAACGAGCGCTCGTATTCATGTACTGACCGAAGTTAATGTGTTTCTTACTGCCGCCTTCCCCGCTCCCTCGTATGAAAGTGTAGCAGATCGCCGGGGCTCTCTTAATGTTTCTTTTTGCCTTAAAACATGTTTGTTTTGCCGGCTAGGCCCCGCCTCAGAAACCCCTTCCATCTCCAGCGAATGGGCTGGGTCACTGACCACAGACAAATTCGAACAACAGTTAACGCTGCCTATCGACGCCGTCGAACCTGGACCCAAACTCCCATCAAGTCGGGGCTCTCCATGCCATCCCATTACATCCCCCCATCCCATCCTATCCACATGTGGCACACGTTTTTCCAGCTCCAAACACCCGAGAAACTGTTTTTGTTTGCCCGATCAGTTAGCGCCGAACATTCCACCACGGCTGAATGAATGAGTCTGGCCTGAAAGTGTGGAGATGGCGAGTGTGTGTCAAGGAGTGGGTATCCATATAAACCAAGAAGCTGTTGGGGTTTTTCATAAAGCCAAAAGGGGCTTCTCTTCTTAGTACCGACTCAAATTTATACATATTATAAAGAGTGCAAGAAATTAAACTAACTTTAAGTATTTAGAAATAGGTAAGCATATTAATTTATGTGATCGCTTTGGTCTTTGGCTGATCATAATTTGGCTAAATAAAGTTATTTTTGTTTAATCACCAACATAATATATTAAATATTTTTATAATGGGCTTTATATCTTTAAAAGGGCATAAAATGGCATTTTTAAAGTCCATGGTCAATAGTTAATGTTATGAGATTATTATGTCATTCACTTAATTTTATTTTTCTAATAGTTTGGACTAGTCAAAGCTCAGTAGCACATCAAATAAGAATATTAATAAATGGCTTGGAATACAATTAATTTTATCGATAAAAGAACCGTAAAAATAATAGTTCAGCATTTACTTTCCCCCGTCCAAGAAATGTCCTAAAATCCATTAATATTTCTGAAATTTATTGTTGTTTTTATTCACCTACCGTATTATTACCTACATAACGCGATCCAATTAACAGCATCCGTTTGCTTTGTTGTCGCGTTGCCCCAATAATTACAGCAGATTCGCTTTTATTGTTTCGCCTAATCTCCCTGTTTTCGGTCGAAACAATTGATAAATTAAATGTGATTAATTGCTGGGCCAACTGACGGAAGCCAAACTGCCGGCAGAGGGATTTCCAGTTAAGTTATCAAACGGACCGCGGGTGGCAAATGGTAAATTGGTAAATCGCTCGGGCCCAGCGAAATGCATTAAACTGCTCCGGTTTTGTTGGCAAATGTTTTAATTTGCTTTTGTGGCCTAAACCCGCCGACTTCCCCTTCTCTGCGGCGGGGTTTCTGCGGCGGCAAATGCGAAAATGTTTGCAATTGCTCGGGTAAAACTGAAATTGAGACCGAATTTATTTTTTGAGCTTCCGAATGAACGGAATCTCTATCAAATTGTCTGCGGTGAAAGTGGACTGGGTCGGGATGGGGAAAAATGTGTTTTATATTCCAGCAATTTAGCAGAAATATTCGCAAGTGCTCGGCCAGAAGGGCCATCAACGGCTGAGCTGCGTTTTAAAGGGCTCAGACGTTTTAAACTTTATGTGCATCATCCAGGTCCTTTTCCCGCTGCTCCTCCGTTCCCTCACTACTTTGACTGATTGTACGTGCGAAAAGTCCGGAGTTTTGTACGTGCCCGAAGCCACGAAAAAGGCAACAAGTCGGACATTAAATAAACAATTTATTCGACCATTTCATGCAATTCTCAACTTGCAAAACTTCTAATCAAAATGGCAGAAAGTATTTTCATTTCATTTGTGGCCTCAGTTCGGTTTTTGGGCCAAACTTTCGTTGCCCGCAAACGAATCAACAAACCAGTAAAAAGTTGATTAAAGTTTTCTGTCAATACAACATATTAATAATGCGAAAATTAACAAAAGTTTTCGACTGCTCGGGGAAAACGAGTTTTCCGCTTTTCACAGCGGATTATATAAGCAGCAGATATTAGCAAATAGTTGGTATTCCATTTGGGCGTGAACGTCACGAAACCAGTGTCGATTGGACAGGATTTCGATTTGAATTTGAATTGGGATTGGGAGGCAGATAAAATTAGCTGACCGTCCATTCACCGCAGCTGCTGAGTGGCCTTCAAGTGCTACGGGGCCAGAACATTTTCGCTTAGACCGGGGAAATACAGTCGAGTGGCGATGGAAAACTGGGACCAGGGTTCAAGGCATAAATGGCGAAAATAGCGAATATTTTTGTATTTTTGTATAGCTGTAAACCCAAAGAGCCAAAGAGGAGCGAGCTCTTTCAATCAATTGCCGCTGCTGCTGCTGTTGCTGTTGCAGCTGGGAGAGCAATCAGCATTTGCAGTTTGCGGCTCAGTCCACGAGGAGCAGAGTGGAAACTAGTTTGACTGGTTGACACAGTTGGTGGCCAGTTGCCAAGATACCGGGAGTGGGGGCATCCAGGAGGGGCAGCCAGTTGGCCAGCCAGGCTAAAAAGTAGTTTATGGGCGCACAGTTTTGCATTCTGCTGCTGATGCTGCCGATGCTGCTGGAAAGCAAAGGAAAGGTGATGAAAAATCGCAAAACGAAAGTCAAAGACAAGAATGCAAATTTCCCCCAACAACACTCCGGCAAATGATGAGTTGCAGCGAACTGACGATGACGATGACGCTGGATGTTGCACTCTGACTTTTGCGACTGCAATTTGCCAACTTGCCGCTTGGCCGCTGACTTTGTTTCACCTTTCGGGCGGAGCTGGCTCATTAGGCATTCGTCCCCGGGTTTTGTGCCTGGTCACGGACACTGCTGCCCCGGTTGCCTAATTATAGCCACTTTCGCCAGCTAATTGCACGCCCTGTCATGGCGAAATTCATCAATGCCATCGCAGCGCTCTTTCGAAGGCGTTCTCTGCGACCTTCCGACCTGACCTGCTCCTGATTTACTATTTTCCGCGCCCGCTTGACATTTTCACGTTTGTTCTGGTCTGCTGCACTTTCAATATTTCACACAGAGAATTTTTATCTAATTTAAATTCAAAAATGAAATAATTAAATTGTTTGTTGATTTAACATATTGGAAACTCCCGTTGAAATTAAATTTTTTTGAAAACCTAAAATATAAATATATTTCTGGTATTTATGCGCATATAGTTTTTCCATGCAATACTGGTATAATTGATATTAAATAATATAATTTTGTCGATTTTTCTCCCTCGTAGATTCTCTGCCTTCAAACAAGAGAGCAAAAGCAATATGGCGACTTAAATTACGTGAGTGGAAGCGAGAAGAACAAATTCTCTCAATTCGAAATAGAGCGGAATAAATTTACATTTCAAGCATATCGAATTGAAATGCCGCATATCAAGTCAATGCTCTGGCTTTTTAATTGAAGTATTTAAGTTGGCATTGATTTATGCAGGATTGTATCTATATTAGGTTTTGCATTTTATACACTTGGAAAATTGTGAAAATTTATATGATTTATTTAGCACTTAGTGCATTTTTTGAACTGTGCAACATTTTGCTGTGCTCTCATTTCTCCTGGAGACGTTACTAATTGGTCAGCAAAGCAGCAGGCACTTTGCTCGCCTGGCGAACGTTTTTCTGGTTCATAATAAATTTAGTTCACTTAAAGTGTTGATTAGACGGAATTATATTTGAGTTTCTGAGGCAAAGTTGAAGGCCCCACGCTTGAGCAGAGTAATTGCAAAATAAATGCAAGCGCTTGGCGCACGTTCGCCACTCTGATTTTCCACGTAGATGCAGATGTAGATGCCACCACAGGAAAAGCTCGGGAATTGGAGGAGTCTCGTTTATGCACACATGCCCGTGCACTTGAAACTGCCAAAGGCAGTCAAATAACTGCACCTTTGCCAGGACCCACCCGCCCGTCCTTATTCGAGCTGCATCCTTGCATGGCTGCCATTAATACAAATGCAGACAGCGGCAGCCATTTTGTCCCGCAGCACTTTGACAGCTCTTCAACGGGTCCTCCTGCAGTCCCCAATCCTCGTACTCCCGCGGAGAGTACTCCCCACACCCTCATCCTGCTATTGCCTGGAGTTATGTCTGAAGTTGATTCTCGCAGCACAAAAGAGTTACCCCAGTGATGTCGGCAATGTTCGTGCATTAATTAAATGCGATTTTCGTATATTGTCGGCCATGTTTGCCGGAGTTATTTTTTGCAATTATCATCGTCATCAGGATGTCCTGAATGGGGCGCACAGGAAAAAATTTATGAATATAATCCACTTCAATTTGATGTATTTTTTGATAATCCTGTGTTTCTTTTGGATGCCAAAGGTCTATTCGGTCGCGTTTAACTTGCCGTTTAAATTCAAAAGAGCTTTTTTTGATCATCACCAATTTAAATGCTAAAGCTTTCTATTGACAAAGTTTATAAAATATTTAAATAAAAAAATATTGACACAAAAAACACAACTTTCTGTCACCTCGAGTTATTCATGGTTTTTCTACAGAAAAGTACAATATGAATTGTGTAGCAAATGAATACAAGAGTAGGCAAAAAAAATCAACAAATAAAAGGCAATCTTTATTCAGAATATTGAAGTCAAAACTAGGAAAATCAGATCACAGCTATTACT